CTCTCACTGCACAGCTACACTCACATCCTCATGTCGGATATTTCTGGATCCTCAGCAGCCCTCACACATCCATGCTGTCGGACGGGTGCTTACTTTATCATTCATAGTTGTAAATCATTGCTTCGCCTGCAGGAAACACACAGCCTTTTTTACTTTCCATCTATAAACCATAAAACCTGCCACTAACATGAGTTCTGATCCCTGGAGCCGCAGAAGATGGATGTTAAAAGCAGAACCATACACAATGGCTGGCATCCTTATGGTAATATGGTGGATTCCCTCCCCAAAATGCCCTGACTTGATCTAAATGTCACTCTGGCTGCGTGTCATTAACCTGTGAGTATTATGGCAGCTGTGAAACACTGGTCCATTACTTCTGAAATTAATACTCACTGATAAAGTTTTAAAAGACCTTCGAATGACAGCAGGAACACAGAGTTCCTTCACGCTCAGTTTCTATTGAAAATAGGGCTCCTGGCCGAAAATGTATTGCCTGGCTGAAACCTCTGGATAAAAATAAAGAAGCTTGTTTTGTATGAATGTTTGGAGCAGAGTTGCAGCTTATTCAGTCTCATAGTCATTTTTGACAGCAGCAATGGCACACCATTTAAAATGCTGTCATTAAGAGAAGGGTTTGGACAAGGAAGCCTTTTGTTTACGTATGTGTTTGGTCGCTGTCCATGGTCCTGACAGTCAAAATTTCACAGTAATTCTTCCTTTTCGTGGCAGTGTGGCTAGTATCATGTTACATAACCTGGGCTGACTGCTCTCATTAAATGTAGACATTATAGGTGTTTATAAAAGCTCTTTTAAAGACTTGCCTGGTTTAGTGGCAAATGTCACTCTGGGATATTTCCAGAGACTGTTAAAGGCAGAAATACAGCACTCACTAAGTATTCACACCCCTTACAATGTTTATTTTTGTGCGTGTGTGTGTGTATATATATATATATATATAAAACTATTCCTCACCCATCTCGGGTGGTCTTCCCCCCTGTGAGCTTGAGGGTTCTGCACAGTCTCTTTGCTGTTCCTAGAACTGCACTCTTCTGGACCGAGATGTCTGATGTATTTCCAGGGATCTGCTGTAACCACTCCTCCAGTTTGGGGGTCACTGCCCGAGTGCCCCAATGACCACGGGTACCACGTTTCCTTCTGACCAGGAAACGGGCTCAGGTCAGAAGAGCCTGGAAATACATCAGACAGAGGACCCGAGCAAATAAAATCAGAAATCATACAGTCCCTGGAGAACTCTCCTCATTACTGAATAGAGCCCAAATTAGTTTAATTTAATCTCACTATAAGCCTAGGTCTTCTGTAACTGTACATTAGTGAACAAACAGCATCATAAAGGCAAAGGAATGCAGCAGACAGGTTAGGAAAAAACGCTACATAGACATTTGAAGGAGTGTGCCTTAAAACCAATTTCCAGTCTTAAACATCTTCCAGGGCACAGTTTTCTCTATCATTCAATAATGTAGGGGGTCTATGCAAACCCCCCAAAAATTGTACATTAACCTAAAAGGATACGTTGAGTGAGCTGCAGAGGTCCACAGCTCAGGTAAGAGGATCAAAAGTATATTTGGTCATCTGCAATTCATCCATTTCGCCCCTTTGGAAGACGGACAAGAAGAAAACAATTGTTGGCAGTTTGTTCAGATCAAATCAAACAACCACAAAATGGGCCTCTGTCCAGTATTGTGACCAGAATATAGGCAACATTCGACCCCGTGCACAACCCTACACACATCAGACAGGGAAACATGGTGGTTAATGCTTGATGTTTTTTTAGCATTATCAGTGAAGCTGGTCAATATGAGTAGCATCTCAGGTACTTTGCTGGTCTAAAGATGAAAGAAGCATTTGAGAAGAGTTTGAGAAGGAAAACCTGTTACAGGCTTCAAATATCTGAGACCAAGGCAGAGATTTTACCTCTTCAAAATGCCCTGAAGGTGTTGAAGAAAATATATGTGTTTAAATGGCTTGGTTAAAATCCTGATGGTCTGTCTGGTGATCTGTGAAAAGACTTGAAAGTTGCAGTTTATAGGTGCTCCATATCTAGCTGTTCTGCTCTCTTCACAGATCTAGTTTGTCAGTTCTCTCGCATTGAATGAAATCCCAATAAAATAAATGGGATTTTATTCCCAACGAAATCTTAAAATGTCCACAGGTTCTTACTATATTGCAGGATATTATAGTTTGTCTCTTCAGTTTCTCCCAGAGGATTCTTAACAGGAGCCACTAGGGAGCGCCAAAGTATGTAGTTGTCATGGTTTAAAATCCATTAGGATGCTGAATGCATCTTGACCAAAATTAAAAATTTCTCACCATTGCAATGAGCGGTCCTCCTCTGAGGCGTCAACATAGTCCAGGGGTAAAGGAGGTCAAAGCTTAATACTGATTTAACAGTTGATGTCTGAACTGAAGAGTCCACAGACTAAATGAGAAATCAAGATGTATAAAGACAGACACACACACAACCACACACACAGACATGGTCTTGTTAGCAGAAACGGAAACATAGGAGGAGATATACTGCCCTCTGAGTGGTATGAGGCCCTTGAGGATCACTTCCCGCCTGAGCAGCTCCTCTAAAAAGTTTGTAGAGGTCAAGTAAACAGTTTGTATTGGGCTGTCAGATCTGTGTGTGTGTTTTCTGTCTTTAAACAAAAAATCTCCAACTGGCATCATCCTTTCAAACTGTGGTTTCGCCTACTCATAAAGTCTTCCTTTATTCTCCCCTGATTGCGTAATGTTTGAAAATCATGTCTGCTTTGCTGCTAAAATAAAAAAAAGAAGCACATCATAGCTGGCAACGTGCTACACTGCCAAACTTTACTTTGACAACAGGTCTATACCAACCACTCTCAAATGACTCATTCTGCGTGCTGATGACTCTCCCGTGCTTGGAGGACATTATGCTAATTTGCCTGGGTGTCTGTGTTCTTCTGCTCCTGCAGAGTTCATTATTATAATTGCTAGACATAGCTGAGAACGCAGAGAATGCAAACCTGAAACCATGTAATCCATATTCAGGAAAATCCAGAGAATGTTCCCAATCCCCTGCCTTAACAAAACATAATGGAGATGGTGTAGATCTCCCTTTTCAGCATGTATATACACACACACTTAGATTGGCTCTATTATGTCTTGGAATAATGTAAAACAGCTTGCCGGGTTCGCCCTGCTTTCTGCTCCTGTCTCCATCTCTTTGGTTTCACAGTGTGTTGCTGACACGCAGCCATGGCAGCGGCTGTGGCAGCAGCAGTAGTGTAGCTGTGCATGCTGGGGGCCCACCGGGCTCCTGATCCCCTACCAGCCAAAGACAATGTTGGTGCAGACAGAGGGGCAGAGGAGAAGTTACTACTAAATGTGCTTTTAATGTGCAGAACACAGCGATATGCTTGGTAACCGTTAAAGGCTGCTAAAGATGGGGTATGTGAAGGAGTTTCTTTATATAAAAGTCAAATTCTTTGAAAATAAAGTCAACCCCTTATTGTCTTCAAACATCTTAGGTCATCAAAGACGTGTCACTCTTCTGCTTCAAACCTGTTGCAGACCCAATCTCACAGGAATGCTCATTATTTACATCTGACCTACAGCCAGAATGCCTAACTGGTTCTTTTCAGGTGTTTATTCTAGTTTTCTGCAACTGATTTAGCCAATTAATCATTATTTAAGGATACTTTGGAAAGTTTCTTATACCTTAGAGTTGAACAACACTGAACTATAAAATAAACACACTTTGATTATGATTTTCAAATAGATAAACAAAAACAAATAAAATATCTTGATGCACTAATTAATAAATACATGAAATTAGATATAATAGAATGGCAGAAAGACAGATAGTTACCAAGAAGGATAGATTATTTCTTAGTATAACATGTTTACATAAGCAGAATTAAGTAATTTGAAACACATGAGATATATTCATTATGAATAACTACAAAAAAGGCATTAATAAATAAGCAAAAGATGAAATAAATGACTAAGATTTACACAAGAAAGTAAGCAAATAATGGAAAAAAACTAACTTTAAAAAAATCTGAGCAAATAAATAAATTAACTAGCAAGGTAATGTTGAAGGATGTACAAATCCGACAGTGAGAAAATTAAAAGTAAGTTACAAAATACCAGCTTTATTTTTCAAATAAACAAATGTACAATCACAATGCCAATTTCACTCACTGTTGTCAGGCCTGCTTGTCCCTTCTTGTAATATATATATATATATATATATATAAATCCCCTTTACGAAACGTACCAGCAAAATCTATCTGTGTCATTTAGACTTTTAGTTCCTGACAGGTGTTCATGTGAAGGAGGATAACAAAGGAAATAACATGTAAACTTTACATAGGAGCAACAGAAAGTACAAGTATACACACTGATTGTTAAATAATACAGGGTTTCATCATGACAGTTTATTCCCCAACAGTTTAAAAAAAAACACAAATTCAGCTTTTTCTGATATTGTAGAAAAAAAGTACCAGAAGTAGATGCGGACAGGGTGGGATGGCAGTGCTGTGTCGATTTTCTAGGTTTTAAAAGGCAGACTACAAGACCTGGGGTAAAAATGTAAAATAACCTTGTTTAGAAATGATTTATAAATATTTCACTTTCATGGTTTTATTCAGAGAATCTATTGTCTGAGTTAAGGCAGTTGAAGAAATACACTGTGACATTTTCCAATATGACAAAGTGAGTCAGAAAAGCCTGAACCCGCTGATACCATGATTTTCTCTACTTTTACAAACGCAGAGGCTACATTACCTGCACACATTAAATACTAGAATGAACCAAATAATAAAAATAGTCTGTTTTTTTTTTTAAATAAACACCAACTGGCTGACAGGAGTCAGATGTAAATGGTTTATTTGGCCAAGTGTTATCCATTCTGCATGGGCGAGATAGCTGAGTTTAGCCAGCCGTGAGTGCTGCTAGAAATAAAAAAAGAAATAAGTGCTTTTATGAAACAAACATACAAGTCTCCCATATTTTCTTTTTTTGGTCACCAGTGTGCTGCCAGCAGCTGAATCCAATCACCTCAGTTTTTGCACTTTTTCACTGAACCCAGGCACTTTTGGGGTTCAGCGCAGAACTGTTCCTTATAGTGCTGAAAGAGAATGTTGTTTTAGGCTGGGACGTCAGATATTAAATCTAAAAACTGTAGATAAATAAATGCCTGAAGGAATGTCATACATTTTTTTTTTTCCTCTGCGTGTCACGCACAAACCCAAACTTTTTCAAAGTCATCTTTTGCACATGATATGAAAGCTATAATAAACTTGGCATGTGTAAGCTATAATCTCGGCAGAGCCTTCAGCCAGGCTGGATATGAAAAACAAAATCAAAAAGAAGGAGCGAGAAAGAAAAGCAGATATAGCAGATATTATCCAGGGTTTATTCCAGTCCTGAGGAGTTCATGTATCACAAAACAACTGAGCCTTAAAAGTCTAAACTGATGCTGGAAAGTGCACCTCCAGGTGCATCTATCCAGGGACTCACTTTGGATTTCTCATATTGTCAAGAAAAGCAGATTGTAAGTGCACGCCAGACCAGACAAAATATAAGAAAATATCCATAAATGGATAATTACTCTCTTCCCCACCGAAGCTGGCTTTAATGCTGTGTCGCCAAGAGGCACGATGCGAGTTATTGCTCAATAAATACCAAAGGTTTAATTCTAAGCCAAATGTGTGTCGACGCCTACTGAAGATGTTGGCCTCTTAATGTGTCGAGCAGTTATGCTGTATTTTACACCAGAAGAAACATGTTGCAATACTCTTTGGAAATTAGATTTCATATTCCAAGCGACTTAAATCTTTAGGCGCAGCAACAACAAAGAAATAAAACCTCTTAACTTACTAATCAAAGGAAACAAATTAACTTAGACATATAGATACATCAAAAATATTCAGATTACACTTCTTCGACTCAAGTTTCAAATACAATACATAATTTATGGCTTTATAAGTTAAAACTAAGAAAAAAATGCTCCAAACTACATCAACAACACAACCCACAATGTACAACTTAACTTAACTGGTTTAGAGCAAAATGAATGTCCACGCCACTTTGGGTAACACAAGCTTCTCATCTGCTACTCAGTGCTTTGGTTGCATCTTGGTATTGTTGTACAAAAACATGCTCTGCAAAAAAAAAAAAGCCTTAATAAAGTACAAACACGTTACAAAAAGAAGGGGCAGTCTTTAGTCGGTTAAGCATCCCTTTGCTGGTGGGCTGCCATAAAACGGAAATAACGTCCCATCTGGGTGGGTTTGGTAAAATTAAAATAGTTTATTTTTCTCATTATTGCTGTGAGAATGGCTCCCTTTCTAGTGCCTTGGTCCAAACACATTCCAGGAAGACAAGTCGGTTCTAGTCTGTTCTTTTTTTAAATCATTTCTGATTAATTCCCAAGCAGAAGGTGGAGATAGCCGAGGAGAGGCAAGAAAATCCCCTTTTCACTACATGAAAAAAAGGTTTTGTGCTTTCAAACCACGACATCGGTTGACTTGTTAGCTGTGTGTCCCCTGGTCTTCCTCAGTATGGCCTCCAGACTGCTTCATCCATGCGGCCACCGGGGTTGAGCACGGTTGGGGAATTACTGTGGCTCCCGTCGCCATCCACCCCTCCTTCCGTCTGACTGGGCAGGTTAGGGTTCACCAGGGAGGTGCCTGTGGAGGCGCTAGTGCAAGGCGGGACCATCCGAGACGGTGAACGGTCCCCGCCGGGAACCATTGAGAACTGGTACGAGTTGGAGGAGGCGCCGTAGTAGAGATATGGGGTGCTGCTGGTCTGAAAGGGTCCACTCTGGCTCTGGGTGGAGCCCGGGTAAGGCGGGGGGAGGTAGGTGTGGTAGTGGGCGCTACCCAGGGTCATGGCAGAGGTGACTGGGGGGGTGTAGGTGAAGGTGGCCGGGTAGTGCATGCGGGGGCTGGAGAAGCGGCTGTCCGTGATGGAGGAAAGGCTCGGGAACTGGCGCTCGAACTGACCAGGAAACGGGCTCAGGTCAGAAGAGCCTAGAAACACAGAGACAAAAAAAAATGAAAACATAATTTTAAACACAGTGAAGCTTCTCAGATGTTGGTGACATTATAGCAGCTGAACAACCAGGAAATTCAACTGAATATCATTTGATATTCCCACAAAGCAGTCAGGTAGCAGATTTTGAGCTGTCCCACAGCATCATAGTACCAAGTCGACCATTTTATCCTGACCTAAGTGAGGTCATCCTTCAAAATAAAAGTCATGCTCATACAGAGAGAGTGTTAAAAAAGAACTTCAATGCCTAAAAATTATTCATTATTTGAGTTTTTTTTCCCTTTTTAATAACTTCATTGTATTTTTGAAGACTAGATTTGGATTAAAGTCTGGACTGTTTGATATGCTTTCTTTCTAAAACATTCCAATGTGTATATTATATTTTTTCCAATAAAAAGTGAATCTTTCCTGTTCTCAAGTATTTTACAACCCTCAAAGAACACTATCCACATTATGATGCCACCACCACCAAGTTTCAGCATAACGGATAATGTGTTCAGGGTGATCTGTACTGTCAACCAACCATAGCGGTATAAATGTAGCTCTTTTCTAATCATAAGCTGACTTTTGCATGCGACTGGTTGCAGTGTGTTTTATTTAGGGGCATCAGAGTAAAGCATGCCACACCTCTCTAGATTTATTTCACAAAAGCAATCAGAAAACCACATATTGTTTCATAGTGCATAACTTAATGTTAGTCTATTGCATAGAATCGAAAATAAATTATCTTGTGGTTGAAATGTGACCAAATTTAGAAAAAGTTCAACAGCTATGAGTTCTTTTGCAAGGCAGCGTTTTTACACATCATTTAAGAGTGTCAGTTTTAAACCTCTTGTATAATAATTGAGTTTAATAGATAAGTCTCTCGAGAAATTAAACTGCTGTAAATTTACCAGCCATTTCAAGCCTGATATGTGTATTTACCAATTTGCAAATTAACTTTGTGGGTTATGGAATAGCACTTATCTATAAATACTATCAGAATCAGCAGCTTCTGGAGCACTTTTCACATCAGTTCCTGAGTTTTGATAACCTCAGTTAAGCCACATATGCCTTAATGTATTTACATATCCACGCTCTTCTGTGTGTGTTGGCACATGTTTATGTGTGTCTAAATTATTGTTTATGTGTGTGCAACTGGTTTGTGTGTGTGCCGAGAGTGGATGTGTGTGAATACTGTATGCACATAAAAAAGCAAGTTGGGATGAATCAGGAGCTGCACATGTGGAAACACTTTGTGCAGAAACAGTTTCCATGAGATCCATAATGAGGCAGGGCTGAGCTCTGATGTGGCTCCTCTCTTCGCCTCCCATCGGCTCCAGTGTGTGTGTGTGTGTGTGTGTTTGCGATGGAGCGCTGAGCGGGAGCTGCTCCATCTCACCCTTCGTTCCTCTTTTCGCTTCATCCCTTAAAAAATACCCCAAAAACCACTAACTGGCTGCGGCTAGCTTCGTGCTGGGCGAAGAGTTAAAGGAGAATAGGAGGTCCTCCATCCGTCTCCTCTCGGTGGTTTAGTCCAGCCATGGCGCTCTTATCATAAATCACCAGGCGTCTTCCGTGTCACCATGTCTGCTCTGAGAGGACAGGGGGTGGGGGGTGGGGGGCTGTGGTGTTTATGTGCAGGGAGGGATTGCGAAGTAGGGTTTGTCGCTAGCGTCAGATAGCATATGCTGCCAATTAGGGCCCTTAAACTTCCTCTTTCCACCAGATTTGTTTGATTCAAGCGGCAATAGAGGGAAATTGTGTCTGTTGTGGGGCAAAAGTGTGATCTCAGGGCTGTTCAATAAACTCCCGACTCTTGTTTTAAACTTTTTTCGGCCTACCCCTGAGCTCAGAGAGCCTGTGTGATGATGAGCCAGATCAAACTTTATTAGCTGAAAGGAAACCAGAGTGTAACAGGGTCTAAATGTTTAGAGGGATTTTCAAACACTGAGGCATCATTTCCGAATTAGGTGTTATGACTGGACTTGATTAACTTTTTAACCAGTGGGCTGGTTTGATTAAAGTTGGTGTAGCATATCCACACAGCGTAGAGCTAAATTATGTATTAATTATTTATTTATAACTTTACATTTTTTCCTCTTGCAAAACTTCAATCTACTTAATTAGACTTACATATCATATTTATTAAGAAATAATTGAAGGGTCTATGGATAAATATAACTTACAGATAAAAGACAATCCACCATTTCTATTTCGATCTCTTACTCTGGAACCCTCTAAAGAAAATACAAAATGACATCAGAAGTGGCAAAATCACTGCAGATTCTTTGCTGAAAGGCTGGTCATGGAGAGAATTAATAAAAGTTAGCCAACTGGCCTCTGCTAACTCTGTCAGGAGCTGCAGAGATCCACAGGTAAGTTAAAATGGTTTGTTAGAGGGACAACTAATAGTGGTACACTCTGCAGATGTTACATTTATTGAAGTGTAATAAGAGGAAGGCTTTGTTGAAAAAAAGCCATTAGGTCATCTGCATCTGACCCAAACTGAACTTGTTTGCATGTTGGAAAACTAACAACCACGCAACCCTTCATAATCCCATCTCCATTGTGAAACATGGTGGTCGGAGAATCATGCTGTGGTGATTCAGAGCAACAATGGTAAAAAAAAAAAAAGCTGTTGTAAACGGCAAATGACCGGAAAAGCAGGGAAGAGTCCTGTAATATACATGAGCTAGAAATGGCTTAGATCAAAGAATCAAATGATTTTCCTGTGTTAAAATGGCCTAGTCAAAGTTCAGACATTAAATCGGCTAAAATTCTTTAGCATTGTTTAACAATTTGTGTTATTCAGTGGGCTTTCTGCACAGATGGTAGCTATACCCCAAGAGGCTTGGATCTATGGAGTATCGACAAATATGTTGGTTTTTTTCTTCTACTTCCAAACTATCTAGGTCATAACTTGTGGTTGTAAAGAGACAAAAAATGTGAACCTAATAGTAGTATTGACACTATTAGAAAGCAATTTATCAGTGATTGGTATTTGCAGAGAAACCTGACAAGGTGTCATTATGATCCAGGGAAATCGGCGAGCCTTGGGGCACATCTCTTTAAAAGGGTTTTCATGCAGGTGTGCGAGTGGGCAGAGGTCTGCTCCTGTACGTGTGCGCATGCTCTCACTTGCACATGTATCACTTGGAGAACAAAAGAACAAAGCTTGCAAGATGAAAGCCGAGGGAGAAGACTAAACTAATCAGAGCTGACAGGGCAGCTGGCTGGATTTTAAACCCTCTCTGATACAGAGTCACACGGCTGCGTTGTTTAATCACTCACCCTCGCTCGAGGCACATAAGCACACCCACACACACAAAGAGGCTGGTAAAGTGTGCTAGTACAAGGAAACAGACAGAAAAAAGAAAGGTAGAAAAGCTACAGATGGCAGTGAGTCAACAGGTGTATGGGGGAGAAAACTTGTTTGGCGGCACGATTTTTTTTTAAAAGACCCTTTCGCGCCAGGAGGAAAAAATAGACAAATTGGAACACAGATGCTGCCATTGGTGCAAAGAAACTAGTTACCCAGAATGCTTTGAGACATGTTGCTGTAAAGACACTTTATTTGTCAGTCACGACCCTGTTATTATCCCTGGGCCTGTTATTATCCATACTCCTCTTGGATCAAAGGCTCAGAGCAAAAAAGGGAAACAAGCTTTTTCTCCACCTCTGTTAGTGAGCAGATCATACTCACTCTAAGAGCAACACGCTGATAAATAGCTGTTCTCTGTAACTTAAGGAGGGATTTTTCTTTTAATTGGAAGAATGTATAAAAATGGTCCAACTAAAACCAGATATTTACCTAGATTATATAAAAAGTTCATTTTATTTTTCTTCATGAGTTAGAATTACCAACGTTATTTCAGTTTCCTAAATGCCTAAATAATTAGAGGAAATCTTTTCCAGAACTTTTATTTGGCTTTCTTCAAATTCAGAAGTTTACATACTCTTCATTAGTATTTGGTAGCATTGCCTTTTTAAACTGTATGAGTTGGCTGAAGCATATTGGATATCCTCCTCACATCGGTTTGCTGGAATCTTGGCATATTTCTCCAGACATAACTGATGTAATGAAGTTGGGTTCATAGTCCACCACACTGACCCACACCTTTTTAGCTCTGACCGCAAATTTACTATGGCACGAGATCAGGGCTTTGTGAAGGCCACTCCGGAACCGGGACTTTGTTCTCGTTCAGCCACATAGTAACTAATTTGATGGTATGGTTAGGATTAATGTCTAATTGGAAGACCTTTTTGTACCAAGGCTTTTCTTTCCTGGCTGGTCTTAAGATGTTGCTTCAGTATTTCCAAATAATGTCCTTGTCTCGAGATGTCATCAGTTTTGCCCCCCTACTTCCGAGCATGGGGTGGTGTTCACAAGCTTGCATGGATCCCGTTTTTTTTATATTTCAAATTTTAAAAACACGCATTATGGGGCAACCCTTCAGGTCACGAAACCGCCTCCTAAAGTTTATCTTTAAGAACATAAGGAATCATTTTTCTTATATTTCTCTTGACGTACTGACTTCTTCCTTGCTGAGTGGCTTTTAAGCTCATATTAATACTGATACTCTTTACCGCTTTCAGCTAACATGCTTTTGTTCCATGGTTGATTCTCACATTTTGAACCAAATGACACAGAACCCTTTTTCAAAACGAGCGGTATGATGTCTGGACATTTCCATGGTGTTTATAGTCCTCTATAATTATTTGACAGATTGAAATTGCAACTTTAGATATCCAAAAATTGTACCCAGCGATGAGTCTGCCTTGTTGAGCTCCACGATTCTCTTCCTGATAGATCGGTTTAATTTGGATCATTCCATGATGTCATCCTGGGAAGCACTATATTGGGAAGCCATGATGTTAGGATTTTGGCTTTGCAAGATTCTTTAAAGGACTTTTTTCTGAGTGTATATAAGCTTCTGTATTTCGAATATAAAAATCTTTTCATTCATTTGGGTTTTATCAAATAGAAACAACTCTGGTGATTCAAATCAACCTTAAACAGGAAACCTTCAGTCTAATTTAAAGTTATACTGTGGGAGAACCTACGTTTATGTGTTTTCATAGTGTATGCAAATATTTGATTGAAACCGTATGTGTATCTTTCCCCGGAGAGTAGCGCCTCTACCTGGCAATCGTCTAGGCACGTCACTGATGGCAGGAAGGCCCGTGCCTCGGCTGGAGGAGAGGGGGGTGGTGGAGTGGACGGAAGGGGACGCCATAGGACTCAGGTAGGATGGGTACGTCTGTTCGTACGACCACGGAGGAGAGGACTGGGACTGACGAGGGTCTGATGGGAAGAAAGGAAGCAAGGAAAGGAAGGAAAAAAAAGGAAGCAATAAAAAAAGAGGGAGAATAATTAGAAGTGCCCCACATGCACATTCAAACATCTGCTCAAAGCTGACATTTATAGCAGTTTCAAACTTTTTTGCCTCTCTGTTCCTCTCTAGTTTTATTTGGGATTAAAGGTATCAGTTGTGCACATTCTGGAGTGTCCTCCCTAGTGACACATGCAATGTTTACCTCTAAGGAGAAGATCTTCCTGTTTGCCTTATAAAACTTTCTACTTGCAGCTGAGAGACAGAAAGCATTGCTGGCACTTGTCCAGGGTGTAAACACACCGAGACAAATACCACAGCAGGACAGACTGTATTATTGTGTCTGCGCAGCAACACAACAAAACTGCACAAAAAAAGTTGTCTTTTTTAAAGAAACAAATATATTAAAGGTAGGTAGCGCTACTTAGTTTTACTAAAAAATTTGACTTTTTATTTAACTGAATGGATTATGCTGAGGTTGATTTAGTCAGGCTTGAAGCAAGACAGAAAATTATACCAGAAAGCGAGCAAGCAGAAAGATGGCATAGTCATGGGAAGCTTTTTCAACTTTGCCACATAACAGTTCTAAGCTTTAAAGTACTTTGAAGAGATTTCATTAGATTGTCCAACACAAGGTAGTGTATTGTTGCAATGGGAAATTAAGAATATTGTGCAAAACAAATACAGAAAAGGAATTCTCAATTGGTGGGTAGCACTGCTGCCTTGCAGCAAGAAGGTTCTGGGTTCGATTCCCGGCCTGGGGTCTGTCTGCTTAGAGGTTACATGTTCTTCCTGAGCATGCGTGGTTTCTCTCCTGGTACTCCGGCTTCCTCCCACAGTCCAAAAACATGACTGTTAGGTTAATTGGCTTCTCTAAATTCTCGTTAGGTGTGAGTGTGTGAGTGAATTGTTGTTTGTCCTGTTTGTCTCTGTGTTGCCCTGCGATGGACTGGTGACCTGTTCTGGGTGTACCCCGCCTCTCGCCTGTAGACAGCTGGAAATAGGCACCAGCACCCTCCGCAACCCCACTAGGGATAAGTGTGTAAGAAGTTGGATGGATGGAATTCTCAATTGTTTGGGTCTAAACATTGTCACCCTCAGGAGAAAAGCAGCCCCACAGCATCATCCTACCCCCTCTATGTTTTACAGACAGGGTGGTGTGCTTCGCAAAGCACTTCTCATTTAAGTGCATATTAGAATAATGGTGCTGAACACATATACACAAAACTTTCATATTTTAGTGGTTGATGTTTACCATTTTGTAATGGTAATAAAATGTGAAAAAGGGAAAAGGCTTGCAAAGGTATGGCCTTAGGTTATAAAGAGAGGGTAAGTGCAAGCAGTTGAAAATATACAGCTAGGATAGTTTAGAAAAGTGTAAGAGGTTAAGTCAAAATCGCTTTTATTATTTGACTATTTTTTTTTAAATAAGAACATCCTAATAATATTTCAAACATATCGGTGTTTTAACCCAGAGTGTTCGATGCTCTGTTACTATTAGTATTGCTCCGCTGCTTAACCATGCCTCTAACGATGCCCTTAGAAGCACTTCAATGCCGCGCTCCAAAAATAACTGAGACTTAAATAACCATTTGTGACGAGTTTCCAGATTTGGGAGCGATCGGGTGGCAGCCGTGCCCAACCGTGAGAGATGGTGTTACCTTCTAAGCTGCAGATTGATTGAGCGATGGGGCAGAGAAGGATAGACAATCTCAGATGCAACATAACACGCTTCACAGACTCTCGTGCCGTCAGGCCATGGCTCCAGTTAGGGTTTGATATTTCACAGAGGGCCCTTTAAGTGGTACAGTTGGACAATGCTTGGCAAGTACCCAGTGATCATAAAACTTGAAATGCTAGTCAGATTTTATTCTCGCGCATCGTTGGTGTGCTATTTCCTTTGTCTTGATATAAAGAAATTCATTTTCAAACAATGTGTCATGTATTAAATTTTAGAATAATTGCAAAAAAATATATATTATGCATTAACGTAAGTATATAAAATAAGAAAGTATTTGTTCATAAAAATGATTTAGTGACATAAAATGCCTTGGAAAAATATTCATACTATTCAAAGAATTTCTGAATTGCTTCTTGTAACAACTACAGATTTTGGTGGCCTTTACATAATAGCATGATATGACCAAATAAATAAATAAATACATCAACAGAACATATAATGCATAATTAAGAGGTGGAAAATGGAAACATTGAATAAAAAAAAAACTGCAATCAAGCTGTCCTGCAAAGCGCTGTGAATAAAGATGAATTTTTTTTTTAGGGGTTTTATGTGTAACAAATGTTTAAAGCCATTTATAAACAGTTATGCATTGCGTTGATCTATGCATGTATATATGTATGGGCCCCCACAGCTATAAAAAATATATATTGAAAAACTTCTATTGAATTTTGTTATAATATGACAAAAGGTTGGAGAGTTCATGAAATATGAATTTTGATTAATTTGCATTAAAACATAAAGATGAGCAAATTTGATATATTAATAAAGGCTTTAAAGTTAGACCATTATGTCAGGTCCTTACAAAAGGTATTTCTAAGAAATAGTAAGAAATGAGAACCATGAAGACAATATCAAAAACACGCTAAACTTCCATTGTTAAAAAGCCAAAACTACTTTTCTTTTGTGTTAGATCGTGACTTTACAAGGAGTGGCTGGTTATGTCCATGCTTTAAATGCCAACTATTATGACTCCAGGTGGATTTTTAACCATAAGTTGGGATAAAGGCTAATCTTAGTAGCTCACCTGTTATCTGTGTCTGGCCCTGTGGGTTGAAAGAGTTTGCTGCTGTGTTGAGAGCTGGTCGGGGGGTTTGTGTGGGAACCGTGACCCTCACCCTCATCCTTTCAAGGTCACTAATGCGTTCTGAGAAAAGGCTGGTTTTTGGTGTGTCCTCAAGCTTCTGACGATGCCCTGAACGAAACAGAAGAAAGAAAGCAAGAGGGAAAAGGGCTACATCAGTTTAATTCTTCTTACAATGGCAGGACTACAAGGTTACAAGGTTGGGACCCAGACCTGAAAGGCAGTCTTTCAAGATCTTCCCCAATCAACACAGACCAGCCACCCTTTCCTTTCCAATGAATCAAATCCTTACAGCTTGATGCTACCACCACCATAATTCATAGTCAGAATTGTGTGTTCAGTGAGCAGTATCAGCTCTCTGTCACACAGTGTAAAGAAATACAACATGATTATTCAGTTTTCTGGTCTTGCTCTCTTGTAGTAAAACAGCCTCTGTAATTGAATGAAATAGCCGTTCAGTTTTAAGCCTTTCTAAGAAAATGGGGTATTTCGCCTCCCGAAAGCCAAGACAATAAAGAACAAGTTAAATATCCAGCGCTGCCTTGCATGACATTCAACACATCTCATAAAAGGAAGAAATATGCCACCTCAGATAATGAGGGAAGCTTCAAATTAACCGAATCCACACAATTTTCCAACAGTCACGACATGGTTATGCTCTTTTTCAGTTTTGTATATTTTCCTCCAGGTCAAATAATCCGTTTTCTGATGTCTCATTCTTTCTACGCTGATGATATTCGGATCAGCTGTTCTTTTAAGCCAACAAATTAATTAATATGATCCTCCTTGATAAAATGATTCAGTATTAACAGAAAGCTGCTTTTAATACTTATTTGCAGGTGAGGCCCAATAATACAGACACCCCAAACATTTCTGCTGAAAGATAAAAAACTGTAGTCAACTTGATGTACCTCTTCTGTCCAACCAATCTTGGAACCCTGAACATTCCCTTGGCATTATTTAGGATCAATTGCAACTAGTACATTTTTGAAACCATTTTAAAGAGTTACTCTTCACATTCAGGACCCACTATTCTAGAATCGTATTTATATTCTTTTAAAATTTCACTTAAAGGCTCTTTATGTTTTAAAAAACACATTTTAAGACCAGATGGGATCATCATTTCACACCTTTTATGTAGGAGTCAATGCTGTCAGTTATAAAACTACAATCAACAGTTGAGAAGCTTATATTTAGATAACGTCTCAACATACCAGCCCAAGAAAACTCTTCTTCTGAGTCAAACCCATTCTATTTCCCTATCAACCATGCAGAAGGAGCCTTCCCAGGCTGTGGGCCAGGTGCAGACTGCATTTTAGTAAAGGTGGGGTGATATGAGAGGCGTGTGCACGCACACATACACACAGCTCTTTTCAGCACCAACACAGCCCTGTGTCAGTATGTCTGTCTGGTCTTGCAACTAGTTCCCCTGTAAAGGTGGTAAAGTAAATATCAAACAGAGGAGAGCAGAAACTCCTGCTGTGTTTGGCTGAGCTCCAGCTGGCTCGGGCAGAAACAGCGAGCTCCTTCAGAATCCTGCCCAACCTGTCTGCAGCCAGGAGGGGGAACAAAGGCCTGGCACTACACCTTTACCTCAGGGTGGGTGTTGATGAGAGCAGACAGGAGGATAAACAAAAACAAAAAAGAAAGAAAAAAAGAGCTTTAAAGACAGTCATTATTTGTTTTTGTAAAGCAAAATAACAGAAAGAAAAAAAAAGGCTTATAACTGACGTCCTGGCAGAGGAGCTGTGTTGCATATCATGTTCAGCTTTCCAAACTTCTGCATGCTTTTTATTATTTAATGGGTAAATAAATGCAAAATGACAAGACAGAATTCTTGTGGAGCTGCCCATTTAAAGTTGGCATATTTCCACCAATCCAACACCACATTATTTACGCTTCAGGATAGGCCTTCAAAAACATCTCACTCTTTATAATACAACAAACTATTTCACCCTGCATCAACATTACAAACTCAAACACCCAATCCTGCCGCAGCAAAGTTACAGTAGACTGGAGAGCAGAGGCAGCCCGAAAGAGAGCTGTTGATGGGTTAGGCTAAATAATATGACCTGTATTCATAAACAGTCACACTCCCTTATTATAATATATGTTCAAATAAAACTAATGTTTTACAGTGAAATTACCTGTTGGAAATAACCTTTAAACACATATCAGCATTTTATATGAAAAGCATCTATGTTTATATGTAGTCTGGAAAATTGATAGTAAACATAAATAAAGACTTGAAAACACCAGTCTGTTATATTAATTAATATATCTTTCACTTAGTCAACTCAGTAATGATATTAAGTATATTTTTCAATAAATATATATGGTTCGATCTATTTTGTGAAGTCCTCATAAACTAGAAAGTGCTTTTAAGGTTGAAAACGTCCCTTTTTCCTCAGAATCTCTCCAGAAACCCCAGTCAGCCTAGGGAGATGGCTGCTCACACTGAGCCTGGTTTTCCTGGAGGTTTCTTCCAGTTAAAAATTAGTTATTTTTCTCTCCACTGTCACTGTATGCATGCTATGATGAGCATGAGGGATTGATGAAAAGTAAATGACAAAATGTAAACAAATATCTGCTTTCACCACGTTCTCATCAAGGAGGAGGATGTCCTGAAAGTCAATGACTCGATGTAATCAGCAGGTTTTTCTCATATGCATGTCTCTGTAAAGATCCTTGAGATGACATGTGTTGTACATTGGCACTATATAAATTCAGTGAATTAAATTCTAAGGTAGTGATGCTTGTTTGGACTAATTTCTCAAGTTAATTTTTTTGGTTAACATTACCTGAGCCCAGGTCTCTGGGGACTTTCTTAACAGACTTAAACAGGAAAACTTTAGTTTGATTTACAATCGAACAGGATAAAAACACATTTCTTTTTCTGCAGTAAATATCAATAAATATCTGTCTTTAACTATATTTCATTTTCATACTTCATTACTTGTGTTTCTCCATCTTTCCGGCGGATAATTTATTCATGTCGTGGCATTCCTCATTCCTCTGTGTAAGCCATGCCTAGTCAATCATAGCGTTTCCATTTTCAACAGGCTGAGTTTCTGTCCTAAAAAAGTGCTGGGACACAGTGTAGGCTTTGTGCGCAGCCTGTCTCCTGGTGATGGAAATAAATAGCCAAAGGAGTCCAAGTGAGATGAGGGGGACAGACACAAGAAGGAGGAGGACGGGGTGAGGAAGAGACCCCCAATGACCAGTAAATTAAGAGCTCTGAACCAGTCAGGCGACACAGGCCCCATTAGGAGGGCTGACTGCAACGAATGGTGAAGCCGTTAGAGAGGGTCATGGATTGCAAAATCTTTCAGGAGGATTTCAAAATACAAAGGTGCTATTTAGACAGTGCAATGATGTGCAAATGTCTGAGCTGCACAGGTTAAATTTACTGTTACGGTAAATATTTACCGTTAAGTGAGAAGTCAGCTCTATAGCTTCTTTAAATCATTCATAGCAAAGGTCAGATGGGATACAGTTGCTTCTTTAAACCTTAAACCTTAAAATTAAAGTGCACAGGTTCCTAAGACAACTCAACAAAGTCCAGATTAAGATGTTTAATAATTCAGAGGCAGAGCATGAGGGTCAAAAACATAAAAACTAACTTTTTTTTTTATAGTCGAACTTAAAAATGTTGAATACCAAAGATGTTAGAAATTAAGTTCAGGTTTGGGACAAAACAGCTTTGGGAAACTAGACACATGCTTAATAAAGCAACAATTTAGAAACGTTTTAGACACAAAAAGTCGTTGCTGAAATGTTACAGGACTCAGCAGTCATGGTAAACTGTTCTACTCTACAGCCACACCTGAACAAATATACACCGCCCTTTATAACTTCTTACAAATCAGAGAGAGAGAAAAATCCACTGGACCTAATGGATCAGAAGGCAGCAAATTAACTTAAACACTGGGTTTGTGCTTTTTGGAAACAAGTGGCAAAAGAATATACATTTAAGGTAAATTCTAATAAGGTTATCTATACTTGGAGAAAAAGGGGATTCATAAAAAAAAACAAATGTAGAAGATATTATCAGCAAAAAATTAAAGGTTGAAAGGTCCACCTATTGGCTGTCAGGGTAGGAACTCAAAGACGTGTTAGTTCACTTAGAGACACTGTGGACAATAAAATCATATTATTTGTGTTAAGTCTAAGAGAGGAAAAATAAATGGTTTATAGCAGCTGCTAAAAAAATTAAGCAACAAGTTTGGCAGGCAGAAAGAAGAGCTTTTTCATGGCATAATCATGTAGACAAAGGGCATCAGCAGTTAAATAATGAGCCACAAGATGCTGTCTTGTCTAACACGGAGTAATGATCACCGGATGCATCAGACAACATTCCCAGATTTTGTAAAACTGGTAGAATTGGGGCATCTTCATCATGTTGTCCTATATGCCAGTTTTTATCCACCCTTTTAATATTCTTGACATCAAATATAAAACCTTACATCGATCTTAATCTGCATGTCATCCAAAATACATCCAGATAAAAAAATCTGGTAGTTTTTTGGTAATTTTCTACTTCCATGTTTATTGCATTCTAAGGTTATTTATTTGGACAAAAATCATTCAAATTGAAACTATTTCTTTCACAAACTGCAGGAGCGAAAGATGTAAACAATAACATTAAGGACACATCTACACCAGCCAGACCTCAAGTCCATTAGTTTAGCAAGCTTTGACAGTAAATACAGTTTTTCATGAGCTAATTACACCTTTTAGAGGACAACAGTTGCCAAGCACAAGACAACTCAGCTGTTTTATCGGAACCCTTGCTGGGTGGAGGAATGAGCTGGGGGTATTTAAAGGAGCGGGAAAAGCGGATGATTTCACTGCCTTAGGGAAAGTCCCTGAGATTCCCATCATCCCTGCGAAAACAGCGGAGATTTTCGATAGCGCCTGCCACTTCCCTGCCCAGCCAGCGGCCGGAAACACGGACAGATTCAGACCAGATGTGAGCGACTGGAACGCACACAGTAACACACTCTTGTGAGAAAAAAAAAAAGGTATGGAAACGTCTGGACATGCGATCATGAACATTTGCAGAAGAGCATCACTGCACAAGCACTCATTGATACTGGCAGTGCTGGAAC